CCAGTCAGTGACATGACCTGATCGTAGCGCATGAATTATGAAAGAAATGACGGGGGTTGTGGTTCCAAATCATTTTAAATAATGTTTTAAGAGTGAAATTTTGCCGCAAAAACGTAACGTCGAGTCTATACTCCTTAGAACTTGCTTAAAATGGGTGAAATGCAGAGTAACCTTTGGAAAAAATAAAATTACTTTCAGGAGTATTTTTACAGCATTGTACTTTTTTCTTTGACTGAAGTGAAAACAATATGAAATTTTGCTCCTATTATTTATAATAGAATAGAAAACCCCTCTGGGAGCTGGGTCTATACTACATAAGCTGTGATGATTTTCACCTTGATATTTTAGCGCAGATGAATATCTGGTGCCAAGGGTGTAACTTTGTGATGAAAGTTGATGGACACTCATAGGGTGGAGGCTGATGGAGCTACAGTTACTCCACCCGAACATTACGTTTTTGTATTTTCCAAAAATGAGTTCAAACATATATTTATTGAATGCTTTCTTATCATAATACACTAATATAATAATTATAGATGTAAGAGAGATGCCTTTTATTGCATTATATATATAGGGCCCAAAAACATTAATGTGTAAAAAAAATTAACGAATAACAGCCGATTCTGATGCCAAAATTAATATATCATGCATCCCTAGAAGTCCAATTTCAATTCCATCCATCCATCCAGAAAAATATGGATATGCTGCCTTTTAAATATAGCCTAGCATTTTTTTTTCTTGTAAACTTTCTATTAAACCTTGATATATTTAAATCTGTTAAACCTTTAAATCCTTGGAGAAACCCAGCTTTTTTTTTAACTAGTATAAAAGAACACAACATTTAAACTTTTTTTCTCAAGCTTCTTGCAATATAATACCAACATGTATAAACTTACAAGTTTTTACAAGAGAGGAAAAAAAAAAAAACACGGACTCAAAACGCTCTGAATACAGATAACTGCATCCAACCCTTTTACCTCTGGCTACAGTAAATGAGCCGAAAGGGGGGGGGAAAAGTGGAAATTATTGGTGCAGACATATCCCCAATATTGGTGGGGGTGTGTCCACACCAGTCCTTAAAAAAAGTTAAGCTTGTGTTTGCCGCAGATGTATATCTGCGGGCGAGAACAAGTCAGTCTTCCAACCTGTGTAGAGCCACCACGTTGAACGTCACCTGCTGACTTGGATGCAGCTATAAAGCTGCCGGGTTTGCTTTAGGGTAAATGTATTTTCAAGAAGTTTCCCAATGGAAACCTCAACAACACTAAAGCTGTTTGCGTCTTGTGCAATGCAGAATTAGTTTCCTGCAAGAGTTCTTCCAGCCTCAAGAACCACCGAAACGCAAAGCATCTCTTAGCCAATGCGGAAGATGGCGAGCCAAGCACTGATGTAGCGCAGCGGAAGAGAAGTGTTCCTCAAACTACAATGTTTAAGTGCAACTAAGGCAAGCCTGTCAGCACAGCTCTATCAGCCAAGCTAACCAATCCCCTCGCTCAGTGGATAGCCACAAGCTGCTTGCCCATCAGCTTGGTTGAAGATGACAGGCTTGAGCTCCTTCTCCAGACGGCCACAGGTGACCCATCTTGCAAACTACCTGCGAGGCGAACTATCATGAGAATACGTGACCAGCACGCCGCAAAGAAAGCTGATAAAGATGATAAGTTGTGAGAGGCGACGTGTTTAGCACTGATGGGGGACCACTGGACATCTGTCATTAACGGTAACTACCTCTGCGTTACTGTACGCTGCATCAATGTCAGCTGTGAACTTCCATCCTTCGCTTTAGGAAGGCTATGTTATGTCATTTTAAATTTCATTTTACCACGACACCATGAATGATTACCACAACATTATGATTGCTTCTTGATGATTGCTTTGGTTTATGTGAGTAATGTGGGACACTTTTTGAAAATGTAGCTTTAATGGTATTTTTTTAGCCTAATTAGTTTCTAGACCTAGTTTCATATGACACAAACCAGTTCAAAGACTTATGCTACATTCACACCTAAAGCAGCAGAGGAAGCAGGAGCACCTAGTTTATATGCAAGGTCAGTGGTTGATGCGCATCAAGGCGTGCAGCCGGAGCTGCGTGTATGAGCAGCTGAAGCAGCGCCTCACGAGCTGAGCATCTGACGCGAGGGACGCGCTACGAAAGCATAAAAAAGGAAGCAGCACGCCCGTTTTTGCTGCTTTAGGTGTGAACGTAGCATCACTTTTACATATTATTTAGGTAGCACACACATATCATGATTGCCTGTGGCCAAATTCAGATGAGCCTTTTTAATCTAGATTGTTTCCAAGATTACAGAGAGATGAATCTATATTTAAAAAAATCTATTCCCACCATAATTTATTTAGTTATTTTTTTGCTCTTTGTAAATTAAAGAATAAAACAGGCTTAAATTTGAGGAAGTTTCTTCTACTGATTAAAGGAGTTTTCATCAATTCTAGCAGATCACACTACAGACAGCGAGGTTCTGTTTGCCTTGATCCGGATGACTGAAACTTTGCACAGGCCAAATAAAATCAAATGTTGTACCTATTTTTACGAAGCCAGGGTTGATTGGTTTAAAGATAAACATCCTTTAAAGAGAAAACCTGGCTCCTCCATTTCCTGCCGTCCCTTAAAATCTCTAAACCAAGTAAGACATATTTAATAGTGCAGCTTTTTTAACGGTTTAAAAAAAGAAAATATCATTTAGAAAAAAGAGTCAGAGAGAGTCAGAGCAAAGCAGACAGATGTGGGAAACCAATTATAAACTCTTAATGGGAAGTGAAAAAAAAAAAAAGCAGGAAATTAATCATGCTCGTCTGTAGAAGGTTTGAGGAAATGACACCGCTCCATCGCTCCCTACCCGTACCAGAACATGACGGCACCGGTCCGATAAGCGCCATTAGCTCTGTGAGCGGGATGCTGAGAGAGCAGACAGCTGGCAGAGAGACGAGCAGTAAAGGCAGCTAAAAGCAAAGAGAACATTCAGCTGTCTGAATGTTGTTACCCACCCGTATGTAGTTAGCATTGATGTAGGAGCCCAGCGGGTCATTACAGATCTTTGACTTCAAGATAACTCTGGAATGAGGATCTAAGACAGAAGAAGAGAAGAATTTCCTTAAAACTTCATGTCTTTTTGGTGCTTACAGTAGCATTCAAACGCCAGCAGAATGGCAGCCCACTTCCCTGCAACACCCAGCAAAATCCCCCCCATGAACCCAACATATTTTTTTACCCCGACTCCACCCTTTCACTGAATTCCAGGGCCTGAAAGATTGATATTAAAAAAGGAATTGTAGGGAACAGCCAATGACCCATCAAGGAAAGTGGGGAAATTTTGAATGGCTACTACTGTAGGATAAAACAGGTAAATCTGAGGGGATACGATCTGGAAAATGGATGTATTTCTTCATCACAGAGACCAGATGATAAGGAAACCTGGAATCTAAACAGAAAAACTTGATCACTTGCTGTTGCAAAGCTGCAGGGAACACTTAGTTTTCATCCTTATAGGTTTGAAGATGTAAAGAAAAAAAAAACTACTGGGAAATCTGTTAAAATTTGGATCCCAAAAATGCGTTTATGGCAAAAACAGGTCAGGGCCTGCAATTGAGCCCTGAGGGACGCCATAAAAAAACGTCTCAAAACTAGAGGAACCGTTTGCTTTCTTTCAGAGAGAGAGAGAGTCATGTTTTCACATAATTAATGAAGGTTTAACCTCCACTGATTAGCATCTGATTGGGAAATCCCTCCTTTGGACCCTGAGCTCCTGACGCGGATAAAGATCGGGATCGATTAGCTTGGATTACTCCAGATATGACAAATCATGAAAACATCAGCTGTACTGAGATCAGCAGAGCTGTTAGACTCATGTTTTAGGTTTCAATCACCTCACAGTTCAGAGCGAACACATTCCTGCAGAACACAATGAACCCTCTGCAAAGAAAACAGAAACTGGAACAAAGGAAGCCGTTTGATTGACAGCAGCTCTTGGTGAACATTCCCACTCTTGATTGGCTGCAGGAAGGAACAGTTCTGTTTTTGATAACCCCGCCCCCTCCCTTCCAAAACACAAGTCCACAATACAAAAACTGTTTGTTATGCAACGTCTTAAAGAGAATAAGCCCCTAACTGAGAACAGACTGTGCTCAGAGAATAGCAGCGTGTTGATGAGGAGGAGGGATGCTGAAATATTCCCCGTACTTAGGAATGTTGGCCTTTAACATTGAATGTATAAAACATCTTCCTGGTTCAACAGGAAACGAGGGATGATGGCTGTTTTGGAAGTGTTGCTGCTTCCTAGCAACACAGACTACTTACTGGGCAGGATGGTCTTGTATCTGTTCTTAGTGCCGTGGTTTGGAATATCCAGCTCCTTGGGATCAATAAAATTCATCGGTATTTCCTGAGATGAAATGGAAGACAGAAGTTAGTGATAAAACACGTTCTCCTCCAGCTAGACAGACATCACGGAAAGTTAGCAACTAGGTTATGAAGAGAAGAGCGGTTCAGGTGGATCTAGATCAGGTTTTTAATGAGTCAGTCTTTGCCTCATTTCTTTGACTTAACAGCTGATATGATCGGGTAGGAAAAAAAGGTTGGATCAAGTTTGTTTTGAGCTGTTCCTGCTAAATGTGTGCATCCGAAGGGAAGTTTGTGAGAAAAATCTGTTACTGCATTTAGTGAATTAGTCCAAATGTTAGAGGAAGTTACAAGTTATTTATTATCTTTGGTCTCGGTCAATACTCCTTCAGGATTTCCAGATTTCTTTTGCTTAATTGTTTGATCAATTCTCTTTATGAGATAGATAAACCAGCGTCAGACTGAATTCTGGATGCAGCCAATCTGAACCTAATGGCAGAGATAACTTTAGGGATTACAAATATATTATTATCTAGAGACTATTAGTAACAGGAGGTGAAATGCGGCGCCAGACGAGCTGAGCATGTGGTGACGTCACAAGTACACTTCTGTTCCAATTGATCCATATTTATGCTGTGTTCTCCCGTTCTCCCACACTTTCCTGTGTTCTTCTCAAGAACATACTTGGCGAGGACAAGAGTCTGTAATCGTGCTCTTGTGAATTGAGAAAAGGCCTCTATGGTGAAACTGAAGCCTGAACAGCTTCCAGGCTCTAAACTAAACCTGAACCCACATGCTGGAAAGATTCCTGAACCTGAACAACTCACTTATTCTGTTTTCAGATTTCTAAATGTCTGTAGAGATTAAGAACATGATGCTGACTGAACACTGAAAATTTGATTCCTGGAACATATTCCTCGGCCAACTGCAGGTTTATCTGCAAAACATAATTCATGACTTAAGAGCCTCAAAACTTGACTTTTTTTTATTTTTGGCCTTAAAACTTTTATTTGGACCCAAGTTTAAGAGATAAAAGTAAATATTTATCTGAATATAGGTGGCTTAAGCTGAAGTAATTTCTTTTTATGTTTATCCCAGGATAATGATGCATATTTGTAAAAGCTGTAAAAAAAAAAGAAATGCCTTGATCCGTGTTAAAAAGTTAAAAAACAATCCTCTAGACTTTATTTCCAAGGTTGAAGATGTTTCGCTTCCCATCCAGGAAGCTTTCTCAATTCAAAATGCCAGGAACAGCGTTGAGTTTGAGGCTTTATACAGGCTTTATGAGGCTTTATATTGAGGCTTTATAGTTGTTGTTCAGCCCAACAAAACGGTGTTGGGCTACTGCAACAGTGTCATTAAAGGGAATTGTTGGCCTGGCTGAATACAATTCCCTTTACTGATACCCCTTTCAGAGACATACGGTAGACAGGTATGGGCTAATACAGGCTAACAAAAGAAGCCAAACGACCCCCATTCCAAGGGATGGACCCGTTCATCCGGGTTAATTTGCATGTTTAAAAATAAAAAAGCTGAGCTGCTGAATAAAATCTTAAATTTAACGCTATTTCTGACATTTTGAATTGAAAAAGCTTCCTGGATGGGAAGGGACACATCTTCAAGCTTGAAAACAAAGTCCAGTGGATTGTTTTTTTAACTTTTTTGGAATGACTGTGACTGTGAATCCTACCAGCTTGATGCGCGTCAACTATTGACTTTGCAAGTAAACTAGCTGCTTCAATGCATCCAAAATGATCTTCCCTGTTTTGTACTGTGGTCACTGTGAACCTAAACCCTTTAAATGGACTTACAGCGAACTCTACGTGCAGCTTGTGCGTGTTGCTGACGACGTCTCGGAGCTGCTGCCTTGTCAGCGGCCGTCCGGCTGACAGCAGGTACTCTCTGGCGGCTGCCTCTCTGGGGGTCACCACAGCGACATTGAGGGGCTCCACCGAGCCGAGGGCTGACATGTCCAGCACCAGAGACACGTTAGAGCCCCGTCTGCACAGGAAGGATGGGAGAGGACACAGGTTTCTATCAGGAGTGGAAAAACTTTCTCTTCCTTCCTGCTTTTTATTGAAGGGTTAAGATCTTTAAGTTTTTTTGTTCAAACACTTCAGAACTTAGAAGGAAAATGTCGACATTTTGGAGAAGATGCACAGTATCAGCAACAACATCTTTTTTTTATTTGGATCATGTCCATTTTGTTCCACGTTAACTGACTGCATGAGCAGAGTATTTATAACTGTGTCCTCAGAAATGTTTGGCAGAAGCTGTGCAGAAATCGCTGCTTTTACTCTTAAAACTGTTCATCTAGGAATTTCACCAAGACAGGAGATTCCTGGGATCTCCACCAACCAGGTTAACGACTTAATCTGGTGTCTGCAGCCAAAAAAGTAAATAAGAAAGGAAAGGAAATTATTTAATCTATGAATAAACATGTTTGGAAGCCTAATTGATCAATAGATCAGGGAGGAGGTTGTTTAAATGAAACTGATGCTTTCTGCAGATGGAAGATGAAAGAATCAGTAAGATTTAAATCTGATGATTAGATTGAGGCGCCTCTGATTTTATCTGTTCTTGTAAATCAGCTCATTCAGGACGGTTTGTGGGCTCGGTAGATCCGATCGGCAGGACACGTCAGTAAAGGGTCCCAAGTTTTCTTTTTAGATGTGCTGCTGTTGGGGCTTATTTCCTCACCGATGACCCGGCTGAGTTTGATCCTCAGCATTTTCTCTCACCGTCAAGTAAAGATCAGTTAAGCTGCTTTAATGTGAGAGAGGGGCTACGTGTCGGCCCGTTTCCCCTTCAGGATGCCGTTGCTTCCAATTTGTTTGATTGCTGATTGGCTGGCATCCAGAGTGGACAACACACGCACCGACAGACACCCAGAAAAACATCCTGTTCTCACTCCTGAGGCTCAAATCTTCCTTCCCTTTGTTACCTTAAGAAACATGATGTGCGCCCCCCCAACCCCCCACCCGTCCTCAATCATGTAACCACAACAAAATGGCCTCCGACCCTCAGAATGGTGGACCTGTTGCTCCTCAGAGGAGATATTTTCTTTTTTCTCCTCCATAAAGTGCAGGAAATGAACGGCAGCCATGTTTTAAAGAGCTGCTAAAGACGCAGCAGAAGGAACCAGCCTCTGATGCTTCTGACAGGAGCTGGTCTCACCATGAGGGGCGCCGAAAACCTCCAGACAAACAGAAATGGTTCCAACTGTCAGATTAACATTTTTTTCAGCATAATCAGATGTTATTTAACGGACCTAATTGGACCGGCGCCCATTTATGGAGCTGGAGCGTTAAAGCAAAGCTCTGCTGGAGTCCAACATCAACAAGAACAGTTCTCCTTCAGCCGTACCAAGATGTTCAAACAATCAGGCTTACATAAGACCAGCGTCCGATTTAACCGCCACGCCTCGTATTGTTAATAGCATGAGAGAGGAAGAGATCATTAAAGCCGAGGAAACTGAAGCTGTCCGAGATGACGGATTAAAAACTTCTAGAATGTCTAGTTCTATAGAATCCTTTTCAATTTCTTGAAGTAAAACAACCGATTTAAAAACTTCATTGACCCAAAAAAGGTTTTTGTTTAATTTTTTTTATCAAAAATTTTTTAACCAAAAGAAACAGAATTATTGAAAAAGATTTTTACAGATTTTAAAAACTCTTCTGCTTAACAAACATCTGAAAAAAATTACTCTAATCTTCACTAACATGAACGTTAACGTTACATTAAGTCAGGAAAACTTCAAGCAACTATTTTATTTATTAGATCAAAATACTAAAACAGCCAGAATCACCTTTAATGCAGAAAAATAATAAATAAATCTTTTCAAAGATGAAATTGTCCAGTGAGCTGTTTCCAAACTAAATTTCTTTTTGTTTTACACTTGTCTAAACAAAGTGACAAATAAAATCTGTCTAAAGTCTAAAAATAAAACAGAGATTTGACTTTTTAACAGTTTAGTTTTTCATTCCTTTAATTATAACTAACTAATATATGAATATGTAGAAAATGATAGAAGGTATAAAAAGGACATCATAAAATAGATAATAGTGGTTTGTAAACATCTGCAAGTGGCTAATTGTTTTATAAATAATGCATATATTAAGTGTTTTAGAGTAGCTGATTATCCTGGCTGTGAGGTTTTCATGGTTCCCATCAGCCTGCGGGAAGAAACGGTTGGTTTGTTTCTCTGAAGCGCCTCCCTGAAGTCTGAACGGTCCGACCAGGATGTGTGGGATCTGCACTAAGCTTCACTGTGAACCAGATCAGCCTCTGATGAAGGATGTCTGAGGTGATGGTGCCCAAAGCTTCGCTCAGTGAATTTTAAATCATAAAAATCTTCAGAGGATTTAAACAAACATCATCATAGAGCATAGAAATACATTTAAAGGATGGCTGCTCTAAACAAAATCAGACTTCTGGCTCTAATTAGATCCGCTCTTCATTTTCCAGTGTTTTCCTGAGATAAGAAACGTGAGTCTTGAGCTCAGCTTGAAGAAAAGTCCCTGAATTCAGCTTCAAACTGAGGTTTAAGGAAGACCTCAGGAACGTCGGGGTTAATGAGACTCAACATGGAGGAAATAAATCCAAGGAGACCCCTCCCTTTAAAAACCATCCCATGAACAAACAACACCTGAAACCAAAGCTACGTGACTGACTCACAGTAACCCCTGAAGAGGCGAACGTCTGCGTTTCCTCTGCTGTCTGTTAAACCGCTACGATGAAAAATGAACGGCAGTCAGACAGAAGCAGAAACCAGGCAGAGGAGCCGCAGCCCTGCGGTTCCTGAAGCAGCTTCTCCTCTTTTAGCAGGAGATGTTTAACCAAGTTATCTTCTTCACACCGTTTTCTCCTCTTAGAGTCAGATATCCATCAGTTCTTAAATTGAAACATCCATTTTGTCGCTCTATATTTTTATATTAAATTTCCAAATTTTGAGCTCAGTAGAACATTTTTATTGTGTATATGTATGGATTAAAACATGGCCTAATGTGTATAACCTTGTAAAAGACTGGAAGGAAAAAGATGACTGAATGATGTTTACAAAGTTCAGACAGTGACAGTGGGTGAGGTACAGAGGTTAGATTAACAGGGAATAGAAAGACGCTCAGAGCTATGGGCGAACGGAAACAGGTTCAGGGATTTACATTTTAGGCCCGTTTCCTGGTTAAGATGTGAAGTAATCAATATTCTAACAGTTCTTAATATTAAACATGTTATTTTATAACATCCCAAACATTCCTGCTGTTGTGATTTCAGATCAGCCCCTGTTTATATAAGAAACCAGGATAAAATAAAAAATCCACATGTGGTGTTCCTCAAGGCTCCATCTTAGGGCCCCTCCTATTCAGTATCTCCATGCTCCTACTAACTCAGATCTTAATGAACAATATCAGTTACTATAGAGATGCAGACGACACCCAGCTGTACATCCCATGTCTCCAGCTCTGGATAAATGAGAACAGATCAATGTAATAAAAATGAAATTTTAGTTATAGTTTTTTTTTTGGACCATAGGAAGAGTGTTTCAAAGTTAGCATACAGCTTCAGCTAATCCAGGTAGAAAGCAGCAATCAAGCTCTAAATCTTTTACCGCATTTACACTACCCTTGAAAAACCGATCCATGCCGAGACCGGTCCGAGCTCGGATCAGTTAACCAGGCCGAGCTTGGTTCTGACGACCGTTTACACATCACGCTATCTCGGTTCCTCGACTCCTCGCCTGGTAGTGACGCTCTGCGGTATTACTGCCAGTATTAAAGGAGGAAATCAAGCAGTTGGTGGCGGTAATGCACCAAAAGTTGTTTGCCAACCGCCATAAAACACAAGAAGAAGAAGACGAAGAAGGAGGGAATCAAGCAAATCAAAATGACGGCGCCCGTCACATTCAGAAAGTTATGCTTGATTATTATTGCTGTACTTCAGTGTTTGCGGAGGTTCAAGCGAAGATGGCAACCTTTCGTGGATTTACTTGAGAAAGTCGGCTTTTGGGACGTGGATCAGACAAATGATCGTCTATTCTGGGTGGAGAAGATTTCGATTGTTGTTTATAGTTGTTGTTCTTCTTCTTCTGTTTTGTGTTGGTTGGCAAGCAACTTCCGCAGGGGCATTACCGCCAACTACTGGAATGGAGTGTGAATCGCGATGTGCAGCCAGACGGAGATGACGCGTTCTGCTCATGCGCTCTTATTATCAGAGAACCAAGCCAGGGAAAAACCCACCTCTGGAACAGAGGAAGCCAGTATTTTTTTATGAAAATAAGCACTAAATATGATCAAAATTACCATAAAAATGTTTTGCTTAGCAAAGAATCTTTATGTGACTCCTGCAGCCCAAACCTGGCGGCTGTAACAATCAAAGGTCAGAGTTCACTGCACTCTAAACACGCTCAGCATGATTCAGGGTTTGCCTTAAAAAAACTATGGGAAAAAATCCAGCTAATTTACGGCATCATTTCTAACAATGTCAATTGTTAAATAGATTCAAACATGATAAATGAAGCTGACTTTACTGGATGAATAATAACATTTTTTACATATCCTGAACTATCTCTATAGTTATGCTGCTATAGGCTTAGACTGCTGGAGGACATAGGAACCCCTTTTTCATTATTCTGATTCATTCTATCTCTATTCTCTGAAAAATGTGTTAAATCTCTAACGTTCTGCTCTTTCTGCTTTTTCTCTTAGTAGCTTCATCTGGTCTGCTACTGTTTGGATGTGACTCCATCCTGGAGAGAAATATCAGCTGTGCTGCTGCCATCAACACCTTTGTTTATAGATGTTGGAGATCAGCCTGTTTTTTAGTGTAGTCCTGTGTCTCTGACTGTGACCGACTGGATGTGCTCTCTTCATCCTCTGACATGGGAGTTGGCCCGGAGCTCGTCTGCCTGGCTGTGTTTCCTGGATGGGGCCGCCTTATACAGTTGCTTTTTGTATCTCTGCTTCTGTCTCCTTGAACCCCAGTCAGCCTCAGCAGATGGCCGCTCACACTGAGCCTTGATCTGCTGGAGGTTTATTCCTGTAAAAAGGGAGTTTTTCCTCTCCACTGTCGCTACAAGCATGCTTAATGAGGAATTGCATTTGAGTCAATGAGTCGATGCAATCAACTGGTTTTCCTTCGATAGAAAACTTTGAATCAATTTGACTGTATGATCTGGTGAACTGTAAAGTGCCTTGAGATGACGTGTTGTGAATTGGAGCTATAGAAATAAACTGAATTTAATTTAATTGAAAAACATGAAAAAAAAACTAATTCAACCAGATTAAGCTGCAGAGAATGTCCTCTTTATGAATAGTAGATCTTTGAATCAACCTTTTGGTTTTTCTTTAGAACACTTTTTTTCTCCTTAAGTTTTCATTCACCCTCAGGATGAAAAATATGTTAAAGAAAATAGGATTTAGAAATATTTTTACTTTGTTTGTCCACTTCTGTTGATTAGAAATCTTATTTTTTGTTAAATAATTATGTCACATGTGAAGATAAATAGAAATCTGGGGGAGGATTAAATCTGAATAAACGTGTCGGTTTCCACTCCCTAATTAGCCGTAAACACTTCCTGTGTTCTCACCTTTCTTGCAGGCCTGCAGCAGGTTTCATCCTGAAGGGGGAGGGGCAGGGCTTTAGCTCGTTAGCGGGCGTCACCGGGGGAGCGCTGCTTGGGTGGGAGTGGCTGTCAGCGTTAATTAGAGGCACGGGGGCGGGGCTACAAGAAAAGCACAGAATGTTGTCGGTCAGTCAGTGAATGAGTTTACTGACATATGAAAAAACAGCATATTCCATATAAACGCATATTCAGCTTCTGTTCTGCAAACTAAAGAAAATTACTGAATACTTAAAGGTCTAATATAATTATAGATTACAAAAAAAAAAAAAATCTTAATGATGCCCCAGAGCATGTTTTGCCATTTGGGCAAAACACCAAAAAGCTTCTCATTCAGCCCTCCTCTGGACGAGCCATTTTGGCTTCCCACGCCCCGTCCTCCCAAAGGCCACACCCCCACAACCAGCAACCATGACAACCAGTCAGAGTTCGTAAAGACAGCCTGGGAGCGTGGAATAATACATTAGACGAAGGCTTTAGCTTGACCAATGGGCCACTCTGGACAGCTTCTTCCCCCTTATGACATCATGAGGGGAATGCTTTTTTAAACAGAGCACTTAAACTAAGAGGTTGAGAAAGGCAGTGAGATAGGAAATCTATTTTCATTATAAGGTTTTCTTCAATAAAACCTGAATTAATATTTTATTAGAAGAAAAAAGCTTGTCTGATCAAACAGATCAGTTGTTATTTTAGATCAGGATGATTGTCAGCAGATTCTTCCAGCTGAGTTATGGATCTCTGCAGCTCCTCCAGAGCTACCTTCTTAGCCGATACTTAGTCTAGAAGTTTAGGTAAAGGTCAGTGTGTTAGTAGGTCTGATTAATTTGAACTAGAACCTCTTAATGGACTCTTCCTCTTGGCCTTCATGATGCTGCTTCTTCTCCAATGAAAGAAAACTTCTAAGCTCAGAAACAGAACGGCTGCTTTTAGAGTCGGATCAGTTTGATACAGACTGAGTTTTATTCAGGGGTGTCAGAGTAAAGGGGCAGAGTTCAGCTGCACAGCAAACTAATGTCTCCAACCTAAAGGATGGATCATTTTCTTCTGCCTCACAGGTTTCATCCATGTTTGACGTAAAACCAGAGAAGCTTCGGGAATAACTGTGTGTTAAAGTCTCTGATTGATCATTGGAGCTCAGCGTCATCTAAATTGGATAATACTGGTCTACATGTGAGGTGAACTGAAGTTGGGCCTGTTTGGGGAAGGAGAGGCGAATGTTTTAGACACGAAGGGAACCTCTGGCTGATCCCACTGGGCTCGTATTCAGGATTATGTAAAAGGGGCGGCCTCAGAGCTCCCCGTTTAACAACAAGGATGACCTCAACCACCCTGTGGTACGCCGCGTCCTGTGAGCACGCCGCATTTGCCCATGATGACATACTGAGTTTGGTAATTAAATAAAGATTGCCATTGTTTCTGGGAGATAGAAATAAAAAAAGAGAAACAAGGCAGCAGAAATTCCAAAAAAGTTAAAAAACAATCTACTTTGTTTCCAAGTTTTAAGACGTTTTGCTTCTCATCCAGGAAGCTTTTGCAATTCTAAATGTCTTTTGAATTGAAAAAGCTTCCTGGATGGAATGAGTATGACCTCAATGAATGAGAATCTTCACCAGCATAAGGCAGCAGAAACTAACTAATAAACATGGTGGAGGAAGAGTGATGATTGGGGCTTAAGGAGCAGGAAAGAGCTTGTTGATTATCTCTGTTTCTTTAAAAAATAAGGAAAAATCCCATGTTATAAAAAACGTTTCACTTTGAAGTTTCTCTGTCATTTCACCTCGGCAGAGGGGTGACAGGAGGAGCGAGGCGGCGGCAGGCGACCACTGGCTGCTGCTGGTGAGTGGGCGTGGCTACAGCTGGCGGGAGCTCAGATTGGACCATGCTTTCTGACGTCGCAGCCTGGAGGAAGAGATCAGAGGTCAAAGTTCTGGAAACACGATCCAGCAGCGAGGGAACCAAACGCTTAGTGGTCTCTCACCTTGGTGCCCTTTGACCTCTTGGCGGGCTCAGGGGGGATCCTCAGGCTCACGTGGTGGTCTGGGGGCGGAGCTTTAAGGTGCTTCTCAGTGACCGGAACCTTCTGCTTCATTCGATACAAAACCTAAAGGAAAAAGAGAACGAAAACGACTGGATCTGTGATCTGGCAAAATTAAATTAATAAAATCACCCGATTTAAACAAAACTACTTAAAATCTAGTGTTGCACCGATACCAGTATCGATAGGGACCCCGATATTGCACAAAAATGGTGGCATCGGTATCAGCGAGTACCAACAAATAGGACATAGATACCATTTTGAAATCCAAAAGTTTATTCAACTATTGTCACCCATTCCTGGTAGGCAATAAAAATTATTAGTCTTTCTCCTGCTTCACAAAGGTAGGCAGCAGCTTGACAAAGCCATAACAGATGGTATCGGCTGATACTGCACAGCCGGGTATCGGGGCCTAACAAAAAAGTATTGGCGCAACACTAAAAACTCACAGCAAGTATTTAGTAAAAAGGACGAATGAAAATCCTTCTGATAGCAAAACAACATTTAGTAGAGACGTACCGATCCGATACCTGGATCCAATGTCTAAACGTGATATCCAATCCAAAGCACTTCACATGGAACGGTTATTTCTTTTTGCTGTTTATTTGTTAGTAAATAATATAAAGAACATTAATATCTGAGTAGATGTATTATTTTTTTATGTCAGAGCTAAATCCAGGATTTATGGTTTATTTATTCAATAGTTGAACCGGATATCGGCCGATACGGCCGATCGGTATCGGATTGGAAAAATAAATGGATCGATACATTTCTAGCATTTAATAAATTGAGAAGAGTGAAACAATGATTAATAGAGTTAAATAAAGACCAAAACGTTGCCCGTTTTAAATAAAGTCAAGGAAAAAACTTTAAGTTAAATACAGGCTCCAATTAAACAAAAAAATATAAGTTACTAAGACGCTCTTCCTGCCTCTGATCGCTTGGTTCTGACAGAGTGGAGTAATACTGCAGAACACAGGGAAGAAGAGGAGGAGCTTTTTTAACAGATAAATGACCTCAAAAGTTTTGATATATAAATTCCAAAAGAGCAGTTATTCATCTACCCAAACAATTCAATTATTTCTTTCATTTCTTTTTTCTGGCCATCATGGTAATCTGGGCGAGTGTCGCTCATTAGCTTTACCTGCTGCCTGATCTGTTTTTCTTTTTTCTCTCTGCAGTGAGCCTTTATATGTCATCATATTCCATCAAGTGCTCGTTTCTAAATGTTATATTTTATTAATTTTGTTGATTAATTTTTCCATGCTTAATATCTGATTTTTTTTTCCTTTAAAAAGATGCAAACATCACATCACTCTCAGAGTGCAAAAAGAATGATATCCGATGCACTGATCTATTTTTTCAGATCCAATCCAGTACCGATATACATCGGCTGACATCCGATACCGATCAGATTCTACCGTTGAATAAATTAACCGTATTCCTTGCCATGTGAGTAAAGGAACCATACCTGACAAACATTTAAAAATTAGCACAGATATAAATCATCACTAGCTGCTCTACGCGATGACATAATCATCATAAAAAGGAAGTCCCTACATCACTAACTGTAAAGCCGTTTATGATATCATTGGGATGGGAAAACTGGATTGGAATCATTCATCCAATATCCAGTCCAGCTAACTGGTCAATATCGGAGCAGATATCCAATCAGAGTATCAGAGCTGTGCATCTCTAAGATCAGCTGCACACGGCGCCTCTGCACGCTGCCCAGTAATGCTACGCTCAGACTGCAAGCAGCAGAGGCAGCAGGAGCAGCTAGCTTACATGCAAAGTCAAAAGGTTGACGCGAATTAAGGCGAAGTAAAACATCCCGCTGCAAACGCATTCTGCTGGAGTTGGAAAAATTGAACTTTTGCTGCTCGATGCGCCACATCAACCAATCAGAGAAGCTGATCCGGGAGCTGACAGGGAGATGGACACATTACTGATGATACAGATCACTGTGATCACTCCACTGAAACAGTTTATTAACGCCTAAATTAACTTAAAATGCAAAAATCTGCTGGAAAAAATTTTTTTCACTTTTATTATCCTGGTGCCTGCAGTTTGGATTACATACATGAAAAACGCCTTCCAGCCACCGAGGCAAACCTGGAAGAGGCGACCGGCTGTTGTTGAATGGGATTCCTAGTGACAGCGCACCGCCGGTATGTGGGGGTCTGAGCGGCTCACACAGAGAAATATTTGAAGGCAGGATGGTAATCTGGATGAACTGACTGCATAGATGAGGTTTTCATGTGGACTTTCTTACTTCAAAACATTGAAACTAGTTTTTACTTGCTGATCACAGCAAATATAGCTGCCATTGTTACATGAGAGAGGATAGGGTAGCTCCGCCCAACGCGCATCAGACCCAGTTTTTCCACCACGCAGCAAAAATGCTTCAGCCACGCATCAGAACTAAACTTGTACAATAATCAAAAATGAAGCAGCATGCACGTTTTTGCTGCTCTTGCTGCTTGCAGTCTGAACGCAGCATTAGAGATGCACAAGATTAAAAAGAAATCGAACAGCAATCAGAAACAATTTCATGATAATCGGCCTATTTTGATCGGTGGCTGATTGATCTTCACACAACTTATCAAAGGTTCTTTCTTCTATGGAATCAGCGCATCAAAAGCTTTAGGTGTTAGAAAAATAAGTCCTGCTTTTTACGAAACCATTTTAAAATAATAAAAAACAAAATGCTCTTTTTAAAAAATGTGTACAGAGATAAAAAAAATATAAAAGATTTTTGAAACCTTAAAACTTCCTCCATGTTGAGACATTAATAATCAATTATAAATCAAATAATGTAATATTTAATTATAAATTTACCATTTAATATTTTTTCGGCCAAATCAAACAAAGAAAAGCTTATTAGATAAAACAGAATATTGAAAACATACAAACAAAAAGTTCTTTTAATCAAAGTCTTACTTCCTCTAAATTCAACTAAAGTAAAGCTGAATATAAAATAATTTTAAAAAGTCTATCAAGGCTAAGTTTCCCTTTAAGAACATGAGAATAAATAATCCTCCTTTATTGTCACTCTTTGGGTAAAACTAAGTTTAATGTTTGGCTTCAGTTTGATTTTTTTTTTCAAAAAACTTAAATCCTCCAGGGAAAAAAAAGTTATTGTAAATTCATCAAACACAGAAAAGCATAAATTCAACATAATCTTTTCTCCTTTTCACAGATATTTCATTAAATGCTTATACATCAAAGCATAACATTTTTTTAACTTATACCATTAAATTTCATTGGTTCATCTGAAGTCTTGAGGGTTTTAGAGGAAGGAGCCCAAACCTCAGTTTCTGAGGTTTCTCAGAGAGCAGCAGCGCCCTCATGTGGGCAAAACTGTAAATGCATGGAGAATTTATTGTGATTTTATTATAAATTGATCTCTGAAGCTACAAAGACTGAATGTATTTTATTGAGGTGTATTGTTTTGATGAGAAAGACAATCTGATTGGGATTTTTTTTAATCGAATTATTCTTTTTTTTTTTTTTCAACTTCTTACCAAATACCTATTTTAATATGTTGGATAAACAGACATTTTAAGATTTCTATTATTATTTTATTCCTTATTATTGTCATAGTTATCAGCTATGACTCTGATTTAAATTTATAAATCGTTTTGTGGCCTAATCTCATTGGGATGCAGAAAGCTGTAACTCAGATCATCAATCTGGTCCATTTCATCCGGACAGAACCGGCTGCTGGGAGGTGGGGCAGATTCTTCAGGTCACAGCTTTTAAAGAAACGGATCCAGTTCTTCTTTAGGTAGTCGGAAAACATGTGGGATCGGTTCTCATAGACATCCTGCAGGTACCAAACTGGACCACAGTTCCTGTATCCTTCTGACCTATGACTTTTGTCTGGGTCCATTTTGCTTCCAGGATGATTAAGACTTTCATTAATCAAACACTCATTTCCATGTAAAATAGACTAACATAGGACCACTAAATAGTTAGAATAATAAATCTGAGTGTCAGTCTTTATTCAGAAACCTTATTCAATTTAGAGATCATCAAAAAGGACTTTTGTTGATATTTAACGACCTATAGTTAGAGACTGATGAGTTTTCTGAGTAAAAGTCGGATTCTTTCCCTTATA